CATATGTGTTAATCATCTGATGCACTCCATACAGTCAAGAAAAAGAGAAGGATATCTATTTTCATTACTGCTATTCAAAAGTCTGCCAAGCATCCTAGCTATCATAATAGAATAAAAAATCAAAAGGAAGATTTTTGCTTTTGGAAGATAATAAAATTGCAATTATTTTAAAAGAATATAGCTTTCTACTTAGAAAATACAAAAAAATCAACTGAAAAACTTTCATCTATTACAACAGAATTCCATAAGAAAAATCAACAAATAAACTCAACTAATAAATATTATGGAAAAAATATTCGATTTGTAATAGAACAGAAACTATAAAATATCCTGTAAAGGGCATACTTATAAAATCTACTTGGAAGAAAACTATCATTTTACTCAAGGGTATAGAAGAGAATCAGAATGCATGTAGAAGTATATTTTCCTTGGAAGAATTCAATGTTATAAAAAGGCCAACTCCTCTTATATAATTCCATAAATGAAATATAAGTCAACACTATATTAGAATTTCTCTTTAATACTACCACACTAATTTCAAAATTGTTCTGAAAGAGAAATCATGCAAAGATAATATAATTTTTTAAATGATTACTTTTGTTTATTTATAAACTTCAAAATATGCTATAAAATAATTGAAACAAGTTGGTACTGGACAGGAATAAATATATGGATTAATGAAATATTTAGAGTCCAGAAACATCAGATATTCATGAAAATTGTTCATATGTTAAATACAAAAGTTCAGAGATGAAAAAAAAAAGTCCTTGTTAATTTAAGAATATTTGGGCAAATTGTTATTATATTGAGAAAAATGTCTAAAATTGGAGCTGTAAATCCCTCTTTACTCAACAAATACATTCCTGATAGATCATTAAAAATCACTACTGCTGAAGTAAGTGTGGAGGAAACAACTTCAAAAGATTAGAATAATAAGCACAGGAATCTAAAGAAATTCTCCATTCAGGTTAGAAGCTGGAGCTGAAAATTAAAGATAATTATAGATTTGCTTTATGCCAGAAGACACAAAATTGTAATCAACAGACCCTTCATCCTATATCAACAACCCTATTCTAGCATCAAGACTTTGGTTATTGAGAGGCTATTTAGCTATTTTTAGTTTAAAAATAAAGTGTATTAAGATATCTTTTTCATAATTCCCATTTCTAACTTTTTGGACCAACTAATCTACTATGCTTTTATTGCATCCAGTAAATTATAAAAGAATCTGGAAAAAAAAATTGAAATGAAAAAAAGATCTTCTCAATATGATGTACTCAGTAAAGGCAAAAAACTCATTAAATAAAATTTGAACTTTTCATAATTTGAAAAAAATCATTAACAAAATAGACAACAAAAGTATAGACCAGGAATGCAGCAAATACCATATGTGTTAATCATCTGATGCACTCCATACAGTCAAGAAAAAGAGAAGGATATCTATTTTCATTACTGCTATTCAAAAGTCTGCCAAGCATCCTAGCTATCATAATAGAATAAAAAATCAAAAGGAAGATTTTTGCTTTTGGAAGATAATAAAATTGCAATTATTTTAAAAGAATATAGCTTTCTACTTAGAAAATACAAAAAAATCAACTGAAAAACTTTCATCTATTACAACAGAATTCCATAAGAAAAATCAACAAATAAACTCAACTAATAAATATTATGGAAAAAATATTCGATTTGTAATAGAACAGAAACTATAAAATATCCTGTAAAGGGCATACTTATAAAATCTACTTGGAAGAAAACTATCATTTTACTCAAGGGTATAGAAGAGAATCAGAATGCATGTAGAAGTATATTTTCCTTGGAAGAATTCAATGTTATAAAAAGGCCAACTCCTCTTATATAATTCCATAAATGAAATATAAGTCAACACTATATTAGAATTTCTCTTTAATACTACCACACTAATTTCAAAATTGTTCTGAAAGAGAAATCATGCAAAGATAATATAATTTTTTAAATGATTACTTTTGTTTATTTATAAACTTCAAAATATGTTATAAAATAATTGAAACAATTTGGTACTGGACAGGAATAAATATATGGATTAATGGAATATTTAGAGTCCAGAAACATCAGATATTTATGAAAATTGTTCATATATTAAATACAAAAGGTCAGAGATGAAAAAAAAAAGTCCTTGTTAATTTAAGAATATTTGGGCAAATTGTTATTATATTGAAAAAAAAGTCTAAAATTGGAGCTGTAAATCCCTCTTTACTCAACAAATACATTCCTGATAGATCATTAAAAATCACTACTGCTGAATTAAGTGTGGAGGAAACAACTTCAAAAGATTAGAATAGTAAGCACAGGAATCTAAAGAAATTCTCCATTCAGGTTAGAAGCTGGAGCTGAAAATTAAAGATAGTTGTAGATTTGCTTTATGCCAGAAGACACAAAATTGTAATCAACAGACCCTTCATCCTATATCAACAAACCTATTCTAGCATCAAGACTTTGGTTATTGAGAGGATATTTAGCTATTTTTAGTTTAAAAATAAAGTGTATTAAGATATCTTTTTCATAATTCCCATTTCTAACTTTTTGGACCAACTAATCTACTATGCTTTTATTGCATCCAGTAAATTATAAAAGAATCTGGAAAAAAAAAATTGAAATGATCTCTTCTTGGGCAACTGTAGTGTTATGAAATAGAGCCAAAGTCATATTAAGCTTGAAGATTTATTTGAGAATGTGATATAGATAATGATTAAATTGATGTTGAAATGGAAAAGATTTAAGATACATCTTACTAAAAAAAATAGCAACCAGTAGAAGATTAAAATTATTTGTGTCTTCTAAGCCTCTAAAGATAGAGGAAAAAGAGACTCAAGGTTCAAATAATCCCAAAGAATAAAGGGAAAATTTTAAAAATAAATATGTTTAATATAAACCTACAATAACACAGCAGATGGTATTGCTATGAATGGTATAATTTAAATTTTCGGATCAAGAAGCAAAGTCTCAGGAATTCCTTGACGTCCCATTGCTTGGTACTCTGTGCTTCCACTGCAGGGTGCATGAGTTTGATCACCAGATTGAGAAATTAAGATCCTGAGTACCATGCAGTATGCCAGAAACAAAAAGGCAGTGTCCAAAAATAAATTAAAAGAAATTTAGCTACAAGATAGAGACACAGCTAAAATAAAAATGATCTTATTTTTAACATAAATGTATGTGTGCTTGACCATTTATCTCAGCCTATTTTCTTTTTTTTAAGTGCAATATACTTTTGTTAACTATGGTTTTGGACAAAGGGAAAGAGAACAATTTTAAGATCTTTTTTTATTGTGCACAATTTAGCCTAATTCAAATGTTTTCCCTGAAAATATATTCCTATAACATAACTTTTTTAAAAAAAGAAAATTTATAGGGGAAAAATTCCTTCCAAAATCTGAAAATTACCCAGACCTTACCCCTCTCCTCACCACACTTGAGGCAAAGATAAGGGAAGAACTTGGTCTGACTTGTAGAAGGGAGTTGAACTGACACATTTAGCAAATAAATATACAGAATTTTCAGTTAAATTTGAACTTCAAAAATTTCCATTTTTCTTAGTGTAAGTATGTTTCATATAATACATGAAGCATACTTACACTAAAAATGTTTATTCATTGTTATCTGAAATTTATGTTTATTGGTCATCTATTTTCTCTGGCAACCCTAGTGAGGGATGTACATACAAGTGGGTGAAATACGCAGTTCAAGAAAGCAGTAGCCATATATATCTGAGGCTGAATTCACTGCACTGGGATCCAGGGTCCAGACTTCAACACACTGAGGGAAGGAAGCTTTGAGAGCAAGATGGTTCACTACTCTTAAAGTGGTTCCCAAAATAAGAAGAGCAACTTCAGAGGAAATTTCAGAACTCTAAGCATGGAAAAAGAAAAAAAAAAAGAGTTGGGGCTGGGGGAAGTGAAAAGAGGAAGCTGAGTATATGTGATAGAATACGAGAATAGCCCTTGGAGGAAGGCAGAAACCAATGATTCCAGAAACTCAGGGAATACACTGGCCATGTCATATGTCTAGATTCACAGTGGAAATAATTCAAGGAACAATATAAGAGCCCTATGGATAGCAATAGGTTGTTTTGTTCATTATTTCATCTGTGATTAGGAAATATTTAGAGAGAGAGAGAGAGGAAGGAAGGAAGGAAGAAAGGGAGGGAGGAAAACAAAATACAATTACACCATTAAAAATGTCTGAAATGTGTAATATGTTTTATTTAATCTGCTTGTCAAGCCTTTGTCATAGACATTAATATCCCAACTTTAAAGGGAAAATATTGTGTTTCAGATAGTTTAACTGGCCTAAGCTCGAGGAGCTGGTACATCTGTCTCTAAATTTATGATATGTCTGCCACACGGCTCTGCTTTCTTGTTACAGTGATCCCCACATACATTTTGTGGCATCAATTAGACCTCCCAGAAACATGCTGTGGTCAGCTTTGAGATGGCCAGATAAAACTAACTCTGAATATGGATTCTTTATCATATCCATTCTAAAGGTGTCTACTCATTTTTTCTAACAGTGAATTTATCTTGCCTTTAAAACTGAATATGAGGAGACATGTCTCTATACACTTATATACACATGCACACTAGAGAAGACAGATATAAGGCACAGTCATTCAGTTGTGTCCAACTCCTTGCACCTCCATGGACTGGAGCCTGCCACACTCTTCTGTCCAGGGGATTACCAAGCAAGAATACTGGAGTGGGCTGCCATTTCCTCCTCCAGGAGGGATCTTCCTGACCCAGGAATCAAACCCATGTCTCCTGCATTGGCAGGCAGATTCTTTACCACTGAGCCACCTGGAAAACCATGATAGATAGGTAGACAGACAGAAAACTACAGATATATTTAAACTTTTATCAGACTAAATTCTAAAAATAAAATAAAATGACATGAAGTCAGGGAGGAAAACACACTGGGGGAGTAGTAAGAGAAAATAATTATGTTCATTTTTTTTTTTTCTCTTTCAGTGATCACTATTTGGGAAGCCACAGAGTATTTCAGAAAAATGAATCTGTTATTCAACTTCATCTACAGAAAAAGAGAGACACCCCAGGAACATTATCTCGAAAGGTGAGACTTTCTTAGCATTGGCATCAGTTAGCAAATGGGTTCTTTAAGGGCAGTGTTCCCATCCTTATGGATCGTTACCATTTTGGGATTACATGGCTTAATGAATATGTATTTATTTGAGTATATTTGAACATATTTTGAGTATATTGAGTATATATTCAATTTGAGTATATTGAAACATAATGAAATATATGTCCATATGTCTATTAACAATTTGGACTAAAGCAATTACATGAACAGCGTACTGCAACCTCAGTATAATAAATCAACTGGTCTCTTAAAAAGTCATTTATGAGTAACTTATTTATGTTATATTCATACAAGAATCCACTAGTAAATGAATGGAACAGAAAATATAATGGGGAAACCATTGAAGGAAGAAAAATAACACAACTCTTGCTCTATTTGAAGACAATGGTGGTATCAACACAGTTTAAATCAGGACAGATTAATATTTATAATATATATAATAAAACTCCTTAGAAAGGAATTACTGTGCTTTAATGACAGCTTCATGTTGTTAGATATAAATTTTATTCCCTGTGTGATGTCTTGAGTTATATCAAACCCAAATTGCACAGTATGCAGAAAACTTTGATATTTTAGCAGATTTTATCTATAGAATCTTCCAATTACCTGCTTTAAGCAAAACTCCCATCACCCTGTCATTTACCTTAAATAACAGGTTTCCAATGCATGACTTTTTTTTTTTTTTTTTTGGGGGGGAGCTTCATCATAAAAAGTGTCAGGTAGTGCATTAGTTTGCAATATATCTATGTGGAACATAACATAATGAGGCCAAAAGAGAGTTGTTTAGAAATATATTTTGGAATTCGTACCCAACTCAGATGGCGTTGACAGCTCCAGGGCTATGCATCTGAAATCTCCACAAAGAAACATTATAAAGTAACTAATACCCTTAATATTAATAAACCTAAGCATCTTCAAATTGTCCTCAGTGTTGATGAAAAAGCTGAAATTATCATGCTTCATTTCAACAGGGGGAGGAGAAAATGTATAATTCTAACTCCTACTCTTGTTTAGAAGCTGAATAATTGCTAAAAAGAATGTCACTGGTGGTAATTCACAAATCACTAATATTTCAGTTTCATGTAAATTCAGGTTTATTCTTAAATGCATGTAACTCCACTACTTTGATATAATATGTACTGAACATATATTTTATATCTGAAACTTTAACATTTACATCACATTTACTCTTTACAATTCCATGTGTCAATAAAGACACTGAATCCCAAGGAGCTCATGACCTTTCTCAGGTCACATTCATGGAACTAGTAAGCAGAGACTTGGATCTGGATCTGAGCCCAGTCAGTGAGTCTCCACTGAGAATCAATGGACTATACTCAAACGTTTTAGATATGGGTGTCAGGGCAATTAGTCAAAATTCTACCTTTATGTTTTTTTTTTGGCTTTGTTTTGTTTTCCACGGTTGTATCCACATATCCCAAAGCCTGGGCCATCACAGGGTGTTTAATGATAATTAACCACATTAAGCATATATTAGGTGCCAGGCACTATTAGTGCTCTACATGTATTAATTCATAACAGCCCCAAAGCAAAAACTATAGGATGTTAGACTATATGATATTGTAGTCTTTTTTTTAAATTTTAAAAATAGTATTATTTCTTTATTCTTGGTTGGGCTGGGTTTTCACTGCTGCGTGGGCTTTTCTCTAGTTGCACTAAGTGGGTGCTACTCTAGTTTTGGTGCACAGGCTTCTCATTGTCTTGGAGCACGCACTCTGGGACATTACGGCTTCAGTGATTGTGGCTTCCAGGCTCTAGGGCACAGGCTCAATGGTTGTGGGGCATGGGCTTAGATGCTCTGTGGTGTGCGGGATCTTCCCATTTCAGGGATCAAACCTCCATCCCCTGCATTGGCAGGTGGATTCTTTACTGCTGAGCTACTAGGAAGTCCTAAAGAGTTTTTTGATGCGGACCATTTTTAAAGACTTTATTGAATTTGTTACAGCATTACTTTTGTTTTTTCAGTTTTTTGGTCACAAGGCATGTGGGCTCTTAGCTCTCCAATCAGGGATCAAATCGACATCCCCTGCATTGGAAGGCAAAGTTTTAGCCATTAGATCACCCTAATGTTAGTTAAAACATTCACACAGCTCAAAAACTTACTCATGATATTGAAAATATTAGAATCTGGACACTGGTGTGTTATGTCAACATGATGCATATGTTGCACTCTGATATATCATACTTTTTGTTATGAATTTTTTTTGTTTTGTTTAAGGTATCTTTATTTTTTTTCCCATTTATTTTTATTAGTTGGAGGCTAATTACTTTACAATATTGTACCCATCCAGTAGGTTAGATTATAATTTCACTTGAAAATCTTATAGTTGAAGAAAATAAAAACTAATTGCCTGGTTTTATAAAATCTTCTTTCAGGACTAAATAAGCATGTTGATTAATTTAATATAATGATATAACTGAGACAATTTAACAGTTTGCAACCCTTCTTCATGGTCTGAATGGCTATATTTAAAATAAATGACCCATGATTCTTTTTCTTTTATAAATCTATGCTAAGGGAATGGTGAATGGTCTCCTCTTTTAATTCTATTATTTAAAATGATGCCAAAATTCTCTATGATTTTCATAATTTCAGCTGTATGCTAAACATTAAGAATAATTAAATTTTCTTTCTAGTTAAACAACATAAAATTGGCTTGACAATATTATTTCTATGTAATATTGGAACTATAATGATCACTATCATCTTATTAAGTTTATTGACACCAACACCGTTCAGGAGATATTTCAGAGTTTTTTTCATTGTAAAAAGCATTACAAGGCTCAATTCAACTTAGGTGGCTTTCTTATTTTAAACTGACTCCTATTATATTGACATATGATGATTTAATTCATGTTCCAAGAGATTATTCACAAAACAGGTTGATATTCTTTAGAAATCATCCTAGATTTCAAAATTTTTAAATTCCTGTCTTGATGACAAGAATGACTGAAACATGTTTGTTTTTAATTTTCTCCCTTTACATCTTTCAGGTTTGATCAAAAATATTGCCAACATTGTAGATATTAATCATAAAATTAAGAATCTTTATAGCTTAAGGAAGCTTTCACAGAATACTTAAAGCAATAGATTTCTGTATGAAAAAGGAAAAAAAAAATACCTTAGTGTTTTTACTAAAACAGAGGTAGGGCTTTCAGCTTTGGAGAAAAGTAAATTGCACAATACATTCCAAGGATATGTGCTCAAACTTTCCTCCAACTCTTTGAGATCCTTTAGATAATTTTTTTTTCTTTTAAGTGACTGTGTGGAAAAGGACAATTCCCCTGCCCCAAAATGTATCTCTGGAAGCCAAGTAAAGTAGCTTTTAAATGAATATGATTATGGTACACTGAAAGATGCGAATATGTCATATTATTTATACACTGCTTTGGTTTTAACTTCTGAAATAAGTACGTGTGTGCTCAGTCATGTCCAGCTCTTTGCAACCCTATGGACTGCAGCTCCCCAGGCTCTTCTGTCCATGGGATTTCCCAGGCAAGAATACTGGAGTGGGTTGCCATTTCCTCCTCCAGGGGATCTTCCTGACCCAGGGATCAAACCCACATCTCCCGTGTCTCCTGCATTGCAGGTTGATTCTTTACCACTGCGCCACCAGAGAAGTCTCTGAAATAAGGCAAATGCCAAACATTACAGTTCAAACCTTAATGTATTTTGACTCTTATTTTCTCTATTTTCCCTTCCCTTTTACTGTCCTTTCCAAGCCTGAACTTTAGCTTTATCTTCTGCAGAAAAATAAACTGTCTCAATCACTATCACACTTTCAGATTTCATCAACCAGGGACCTTGGATGTAAATGCCTATAGAGTAAGCCTCATGTTGCCAAGTTCCTTAGCATTTCTATTAATACAGAGCCTTCCTTTTTCATTGCAGTGACCTTATTCTTTCCACGTTACTTAGCTTCCTCCCTCTTCCTCACAAAACAATCCAATATAAAAATTGATTTACCGTTGACCTTAAGCCATGTAAAGGTTTTCCTTCTGATGTTTTCTGTCAGAAACTCTAACAGGCAGTCCTAAAATTAGATTGTGTGCATACTGACATACAAGATTATATGCACCCCAGGCACTAAGGGACCCATTGGGCTGTAAAACTTAACAGCTCTGGGTGATGAAAAAGTGCAAAGATGATGGGGTGTATTTGCTTCCTCTGCAGACCTGCATAGGGTTTTTATAGGTGCCCATTTCAGAAGAGTTGATCAAGGAGTTAAGATGAGAGTGCGTTTGTGTGAATGCAGAGATGTGGATCAGGACGCTGCTATTTTAAGATGGGTAGTTCCTGCTCATCTTGGGAGAAAAATACAATGCCATCTGATAACTCCTGCAATTTACACCTATCAGCAGTTGTCTTTCATTAGCATAACTCAGCGTTCATGAGATAGGAAGTTCTCTTACCCTGATATTTTGGTGGCAAGACATGGAAAATCTGAAAAATGGAGGATTCCGTTCTGTGTCTGCCAGCCAATGTGGCAAGCTGTCAAGTCTTATGCTGCCATGGATCCAAGGCCTAAATGTAAAGAAAACGTACACATACGTGGGAGAACTGGTGTCAAAATTGCTTTCCTGCTGGGATAAATTCGTATTTGACCTTGGCGGTGGCAGGATGCCTTTCAACAGTCCTTGGAGTTTATTCTCAACCAAAGAGCAGCTTTCTGCTTTACTTTTGAAAGGAATGCTTCTACAGTTAAGAAGTGTCTTCTAAGGTCTTTAAAACAAAATATTAAAATGATAAATGAGGGTTATCAAAAGAGGTGAATAAAATGACAGCAGGAAGTTACGGACCTATTTTTATCTGGGATTCATTCCTCTTCTCTCTATAAATATTAATATATCCTGCTGTCTACAGCATGAAGATGACCACAGTCAGTTTTATCTGAAGCAACTTCTAGAATTTATGCATATCTGGAAAGTGTCCAGGTAAGACATTTCATTTTTGTTCCAAGACTACTTTCTGACTGATTTCTCAAGTGCCAAATCATAATATTTTTCAGTTGATTGTAAAAACTATCCTTTCACTAATACTGTGGAAGCTATTGTGCTTTTAATAGATATCTCCCTTTGGCAAATTCTGTTAGTAATTATCTATTCTTCACAGCTATTCAGATGCGTTTGAAGAGCTGCTAACACCTTCCAGAACAATCTAACATTCATTTAAAAATCTCTTTACTACTGCTTATTACATTTTCGAGGATTTTTTTTTCTCATTCATTTGGTAAATTTGATTGTGCATATGTCACTAAGCTCTTTATATCACTGAATTTCCATACTTTGAAAGTCACCATCTCCTGCTTTAAATTCCTTTCTGGAACTCCTTGAAAATAATTGGTACATTATAAACTAAGGAGAGTGAATTCAAATTGGAAAACTCAAGTGACAGCAAATGAGCATATCCTAATTGAGTCTGATATCTCAACGTATGCATGTATTGTTTGAAAGAATAGACATATCAAAAAGCTAACCTGGGAGAAGTTATCAGTGCTACAGGGTGAGTTTATCAGGAATTAAAGTTGCTCTGAGCTAAATGAGCAAAAAATGGAGTGTGGGAGGTATGTGTCATAAATTCTCTAAAGCACAGCCTGATATAAAAGAGAGTTAAAATTGTTTTAGTGACTATTAATAATAGCTATCACTTCCTGGAGTTCTAGTACATTTTGCATACATTATCTCATCGAATTCTCCCTTTAACTCCATAACAACACATACTACCTTACTTTGGAATCAAGGAAACTGAACTTCTGAAAGATTAAATAAGTTATCTAGGGCCAATCACTCAGTTTGTTAGTTAGTTTAGTCGCTAAGTCGTGTCCAACTCTTTGCGACCCCGTGGACTATAGCCCGCCAGGCTCCCCTGTCCATGGGATTCTCCAGGCAAGAATACTAGAGTGGGTTGCCATTTCCTTCTCCAGGGGAATCTTCCCAACGCAGGGATCAAACGAAAGGTATCCTGCATTGTAGGCAGACGCTTTACCATCTGAGCCACCAGGGAAGTCCTTTTGTTAGTAGAAAGAGTGAAATCAATGCTGTCTGCAATTTGCAAAGGCTACATTCTTTCATTAAAATATCATGTCTTTCTCTTTCCTGCCAGTATTCAGCCTCATAACATAATATCATAGAATGGGTAAAACTAAGGAGGACTTTTGATATCACTTAATCTAAATTATTATTGTATTACTAATTACATGCTTCAGATAGGTCCCCATCAAAATGGTGTATTAAATCAAAGGTTGTGTTTCAAAATAAATTTATAAGACAACTACCACATCAACAAATGCAGAGAGAAACATCAAATTGGACAAATTCTTCAAAAAGTCTGGAATCCCTGGGAGTCAGAGATTTGTTTTGAACTGTTTGGTGGAGGGCTGTGACTTGTAGGTGGATGCTACCTGGGGCACAGAGAAACAAAAGGAGCCTGTGACTCTTTGGAAAAGACCCTGTGCTGGGGAAGATTGAAGGCAGGAGAAGAAGGGGACGATAGAGGATGAGATGGTTGGATGGCATCGCTCAATCGATGGACATGAGTTTGAGCAAGTGCCAGGAGTTGGTGATGGCAACTGCATGCTGGACCGGCGTGCTGCAGTCCATGGGGTCGCAAAGAGTCAGACACAACTGAGTGACTGAACTGACTGTGAGGCCCATAGGATTTATTCACTAACTTTTCATTGTCAGTAATTTTTAATTGAAGTATAGTTGACAGACAACATTTCTTGATTCCCTTTCTTCATTGTGTTGTTCCTCTGATTGGGTGATTTCAAGAAATCTGTCTTTAAGTTTACGGAGTCTTCTGCTTGGTAGTTTATCAAATTCTTCAGCTCAGTCTTGTATTCTTTAGTGCAAACATTTCTATTTGATTCTTGTGTTTTCTCTTTGCTGAATTTCTCATTTTATTTCTTACATGGTTATGCTAAATTCACTAAATTCTTTTCCTGTGTTCCCTTGTAGTTATCTGAGCATCTTTAGAACAATTATTTTGAGTGCTTTAATCAGACAATTCTTGTATCTCCATTTCTTTGGGGTCAGTTGCTGGAAGTCTACTGTATTCTATGGGTGGTGTCATATTTCCCTGATTTTTTATGATCTTCTAGCCTTATATCCCTGGGTGGGGAAGATCCCCCAGAGAGAGGAATGGCAACTCACTTCAGTATTCTTGCCTGGAGAATCCCGAGGACAGAGTAACCTGGAAGGCTATACAGTCCATAGGGTCACAAAGAGTTGGCCATGACTGAGCAACGACCACTTTCACTGCACACAGTCTTGCATAGCTGTCTGTACGCAGGAAGCAGCAGTCACCTCTTCCAGACTGTATGAGCTGGCTTCAGTATGGAAAGATCTTCACCTACAGGCAAGGGTACCCCGAAATGTGCTGTGACCCTGGGTGTAGTGGTGCAAGGCACCGAGCACAGAATTGTGAGACAACTCCAGGAGGGGAGGAGAAACACAAAGTCTGCTCGGCTCAGGCCATGGGGTTCCACAGCATCCACCACCATGTGGTCCTTGGCAAGTGCTCTGGGGGGTCTGCAGTGCTGCAGGGGCTGTTGTGATCCTCAGTAGTGCCTCCAGCTAGGGACCAGGGCAGACAGCAGTTGCTGCTGGGGCTGGTCATGTACACACACACACACAGCTGTGAAGACCAGCTGCAGGTTAGGTGCCTGTGTAGCGACAGGGTTGGCTGCAGACACTCATAGAGTTGGGCAGGGGATCGAACAGGGCTAACTGCTATTATAAAATATATTGGTGTGTTTTTACCATTGTGAATTTGTGTTGTACAATTCATAATTTGATTCAATTCAGGAGCTTTCAGGAAAAAATAGGAAGGGAAAGTCAATAATGTTTGGGAAAATAATTTTGAATAGTGAAACCAGAAGAATCTCTGTTCAACTCACATCTATTCCACCTAAGAAGAGATAAAGCTGAAGCATTAATAGGAGCTTAGGGAAAAAAGCAAAAATACCAGGAAACACAGAGGTTTGGGATCAAATACAACACTACTTATGATAAATATGTCATTAATTCTGAAAGCAATTCTCTGCAAATTTTTGCATATTTAATATTGATGTATCTGTCATTATCTCCTTGTGAATCCCTTTGCAACTGACATTTTGAAATAAAAGTAGTTTCTTATAATGAACAGTCTTTGAGAGGTTTGGTTAAGCTGTCAAAAATTTCTTCTGAGTTCTAAGGTTTTTAAATATGCTTGTAGCCTATCAAGTTATACAGAGGTTTTAAGGCAGACATTCAAAATGATATTTAAAATTACATCAACAGAAATCCTTAAGCCATATTTGCTATAGAATCATGGGCAACGCAAGACTTGTGATAAATTTGCTAAATTTAATGTTTTCCCACTCAACTTTAAACAAAGTTCTTTTTTTCTTTCCAGACAGTGTCTCTCAACAGTAATCCAAAAATATGACTTCCACCTGAAATACTTATTGAAAACCCAGGTATTAACTTTTGTTACTTACTTAATTAATATAATAAGCATTTATTATCTACTCTTTCTCTAAAACTTTGCACATTTCTGAATATACAAAGATTTATAAAGCTGAGGATCTATACTTCAATGGCTTTCATCCTATCATGGCAAAACAGACAAGTAACCAGATGTGTGTAATAAAGTGTCATGTGTACTGTGAAAGACCTATGTGTATATAGGACACACAAAAGAGGGTGATCGATTTTACTTATTTGATCTGAGTGTTGAAAAAATGAGTGTGCCAGCCAAGGGAGGGGTGTGGTGAAGGAAAGTCAGAGGTAGTGATAACTTAAAGCAAATAACAACAGGAATAGAGCAGGTAGCAAACAGCCTGGTTTGAGTCAGAAACTGTATGCTATTGAAACTTTGGAATGGCCACAATTAAGGTTCAAGGTGAAAGCCTAGGAAAAGACCAGATGAAAGGGAGAAGCAGGAACCAAGTTATGATGTATGGTCTTAAGGACATTTTATGGACAATTTAATGATTTTCTAATTTATCAGCTGATGACATAGAGCCATTATGCAGGGCAGCACGACGACAGATGGGTGATGATAGGACATTTCATTAACCCGAAGAGATGGGGAGGGCATGGGCAAAAGCTCCAATGTGGGGATGGAAAGGAAGGGACTTCATAAAAGGTGGAAATGTGCAATTTACATGATTTGGTGAAAAACTGTGAACAACAAAAGAACACAGTGCCTAGACTATCTCCAGATTCCTGGCGGCTGACTGATTGCATGGAGACATTAATGAACTAAACAAAAAAGCAAAAATACCAGGAAACACAGAGGTTTGGGATCAAATACAACACTACTTATGATAAATATGTCATTAATTCTGAAAGCAATTCTCTGCAAATTTTTGCATATTTAATATTGATGTATCTGTCATTATCTCCTTGTGAATCCCTTTGCAACTGACATTTTGAAATAAAAGTAGTTTCTTATAATGAACAGTCTTTGAGAGGTTTGGTTAAGCTGTCAAAAATTTCTTCTGAGTTCTAAGGTTTTTAAATATGCTTGTAGCCTATCAAGTTATACAGAGGTTTTAAGGCAGACATTCAAAATGATATTTAAAATTACATCAACAGAAATCCTTAAGCCATATTTGCTATAGAATCATGGGCAACGCAAGACTTGTGATAAATCTGTTAAATTTAATGTTTTCCCACTCAACTTTAAACAAAGTTCTTTTTTTCTTTCCAGACAATGTCTCTCAACAGTAATCCAAAAATATGACTTCCACCTGAAATACTTATTGAAAACCCAGGTATTAACTTTTGTTACTTACTTAATTAATCTAATAAGCATTTATTATCTACTCTTTCTCTAAAACTTTGCACATTTCTGAATATACAAAGATTTATAAAGCTGAGGATCTACACTTCAATGGCTTTCATCCTATCATGGCAAAACAGACAAGTAACCAGACGTGTGTAATAAAGTGTCATGTGTACTGTGAAAGACCTATGTGTATATAGGACACGCAAAAGAGGGTGATCGATTTTACTTATTTGATCTGAGTGTTGAAAAATGAGTGTGCCAGCCAAGGGAGGGGTGTGGTGAAGGAAAGTCAGAGGTAGTGATAACTTAAAGCAAATAACAACAGGAATAGAGCAGGTAGCAAACAGCCTGGTTTGAGCCAGAAACTGTATGCTATTGAAACTTTGGAATGGCCACAATTAAGGTTCAAGGTGAAAGCCTAGGAAAAGACCAGATGAAAGGGAGAAGCAGGAACCAAGTTATGATGTATGGTCTTAAGGACATTTTATGGACAATTTAATGATTTTCTAATTTATCAGCTGAGGACATAGAGCCATTATGCAGGGCAGCGCGACGACAGATGGGTGACGATAGGACATTTCATTAACCCGAAGAGATGGGGAGGGCATGGGCAAAAGCTCCAATGTGGGGATGGAAAGGAAGGGACTTCATAAAAGGTGGAAATGTGCAATTTACATGATTTGGTGAAAAACTGTGAACAACAAAAGAACACAGTGCCTAGACTATCTCCAGATTCCTGGCGGCTGACTGATTGCATGGAGACATTAATGAACTAAACTGTGAAGGTAGGAGAAGCTAGCTTGGCAGGGAAAATAATGGATTCAGTCTAATCTAATGCCTATTAGGCATCCAAGTTGTAGTCACCATTAGGCAAATCATTTCTTACAGTGTGTTCTTCCAGGGAAGGATTGTTGTTTTTCAGTTGCCCAGTCATGTCTGATTCCTTGTGATCCCATGGACTGCAGCACGCCAGGCCTCTCTGTCCCACACATTCTCCTGAAGTTTGACCAAGTTCATGTCCATTGCATCAGTGATGTTATCCAGCCATCTCATCCTCTAGCACCCTCTTCTCCTTTTGCCCTCAATCTTTCCTAGCATCAGGGACTTTTCCACTGAGTCAGCTGTTCACATCAGACGACCAAAATACTGGAATTTTAGCTTCAGCATCAGTCTTTCCAACTAGTATTCAGGGTTGATCTCCCTTAAGACTGACTGGTTTGATCTCCTTGCTGTCCAAGGGACTTTCAGGAGTTTTCTCCAGCACCACAGTTCAAAGGCATCAATTCTTTGGTGTTCTGCCTTCTTTACAGTTCATCTCTTACAGCCATACATGACCAGTGGGAAGACCATAGCCTTGACTCTACAGACTCTCGTCAGCAGAGTAATGTCTCTGCTTGTCAACACACTGCCTAGGTTTTCAAAGCTTTCCTGTCAAGAAGCAACTGTCTTCTGATTTCATGACTGCAATCACAATCCACTGTGATTTTAGAGTCCAAGAGGAGGAAATCTGTCACTGCTTCCATCTTTTCCCCCTCTATTTGCCATGAAGTAATGGAGCTGGATGCCACAATCTTAGTTTTTTTTTTTAATATTTAGTTTTAAGCTGGCTCTTTATTCTCCTCCTTCACCCTCAAGAGGCTCTTTGGTACCACTTTCTGCCATTAGAGTGGTGTCGTCTGCATATCTGAGGTCATTGGTGTTTCTCCTGCCTCTCTTGATTCCAACTTGTAACTCATTCAGCCCAGCATTTCTCCTGATGTGCTCAACATACATATTAGTCTTCCACAGATAAAATACTGTATGATTACAGAAAATGAGGTAAGAGAATGTTTTTAAAACAAGTGAAGACTTCTTTTTCCATTAAACAAATGACTCTTGATAACTATACAAAGGGTCCAGATCTTAAGCAATATTAAATTGCNATAACTATACAAAGGGTCCAGATCTTAAGCAATATTAAATTGCTATCCCCAATATTAAAAAAGAGTAAACAGTTCTGAAAATAATACATTACACTTCTTGATGTAGATACGAAACTCACACGTTAATTCCACGTAAATAAGTAAAGATACAGGAATGACAAATACACAACTCATCTTCCTTCCCAAGGTGTAATCCTCTCACTCTAATTCCACTTCTTTCTTGAGTCTAGCCTGAATCTGCAAGTTTAAAATGTGGAATGTGCAAACAATTCACAATTATTTATATTGCTTTAAACCTCATAAAAGTGTCATAATTACTACTTGTTTGTGATTTCCATTCTTTCTACTGTAAAATTTGAAATATACCAGGTACCCAGGGCATATTAAGGCTCCATTCCCGTATCATTTATGGCTCTTGACTATACACAGATATACTGTGGAGGTTATCATACCTTCCTTATGGATGAATTTTAACTACCTAAATGTCTCAGTACTGCTCATGTATAACAGATCCATGATAATTAATTTAATTGTCAAATGCAGAGGCCTTATATATGAGGCCTCCAATACTTTCACTTTAAAATAAATCATTTTTTGAAAAAAAGCAATTTTTCCAATACGACTGAAAAGTTGGCAAACCATCAAAGAAATACTGTCTTTATATTATCACAGGCAAATAGTTATTATCACCACATCTGAATTATTTTATAAATAGGCCACAGTGTCTGCAATTTTCCACATGAACTCTCTCTAAACCAATGAATTTTTTAAATGACATTTCTTCCTAAGAAGCATCAATAGCTAAATATCTAAGAAGTGAGAACAGATTGTGATATTATCAATTTACAATATTGCACTTTCTGTTTGTTTGACAAGTCCATTAAATAGCATTTCATCAACTGAAAATAGTTAACAATTTGAAGAACAATGTTTTTACCTATCTCATACTTGAATTATTATATGATTTGACAAAATAACGAACAAGCAGGTTGAATAAACTTGCCATGAATATTACTGAATAATATGGATAACTTAAATTTCCAAATATTTTGTTTCATCAGCAATGGCTATTAGCATATTTTACATTTGACACATTTCAGATTGGGCATCCTAACTTATGCTTGTAAACAGCTAATTTTGTAAGTAATTTACATAGAGCTTTTCCTTTTGGCAATTTTTTCCCCCTCTCTTCTATTCTACTAATAATTAAGGAATGTTTTCTGTATTCATTCTATATTCAGAATTCATTGCTAACATTTAGGAGAAATTAAGAACAGAAGAAAGAGAAAGAATTTTCCCCAGAGGAGCTACTTAATGCTTACTTGGTACAAATTACTAAACTATTTACTTACTGGAATCAACAGAAATCAAAGTCAGAACCATGTTGCTAACAATCTAATTGGAAACAGCATTTTCACATAAAGAACACAGAGTGGTAGATCTCCAGGATAAAGCAGTGTAAAGCCAGATTTCTATCTAGGTGGAAGAATCAGCTTCGGATTCAAAGTTGCTTTCTCCTAGTAGCCTATAACGCATTGTCTCCAAAATTTTTATTTAAATGCCAAGTAGGACCTTTAGAGAAAGTTAGCAATCCCTATCACTGAGGACAAACTTACACTGGGATCTAGTAACTGATTAACTCATTGTAGACCAAATGGATCTGGACTGAAAAAAAATCTATCCATGCTTCAAAATGTAGGTTGGCTTCATGAAACATCTGCTTGGTATAAAAAGAGCTAAAAGCCTCCAAACACTTTACCTT